ATTACTTATGATATTGTGTGATCAACAAAATGTTGGGGGGAAAAGGAATTGAAGACAACTATATATAGCAGAGATAGTGTAATAAGAGAGTGGGAAAGAGCAGAGGGTCAAACATGGGGTAAAAAACATATATATACATATACATATATATGAAAGTAGAAATGGAATATTATTGATGATAACATGCATGATTAAGCCACTATCCAGTTTATTCTAGATGGGAAACCATGTTTAGTATGTTGTGGTGATGCTCAGGGAATGAATGTTAAGTAATTAAAAAAAAAAAAGTTGCAGGAGGAAAAAAAAAACAGTAAAACTGTTTGTGTCGAAATTTAAAAAAATGCATATTTGATGACTGCAGTAAGGTATATAGAACCCAGCTAGGTACTACTTTACAGTATGTTCATTCTACTCACTGAGGTTTATGCCTAAAGTCAGACTTGGGTTCATGCACAGGTATATATCAGCTGTGCTAGCTATTGGATATATTTAGACTAATTAAGTTCATTAGCAAATCAATTAAATGGGGGAGAAAGGCATAGAAAGCAACCATGAATACCAGAGACAATGTGGGAGGGTGGGACATAGCAGAGGGTGAGGGATAGGGAATCAAGGATGGCAAAACAAAGTATACAAGACATAAGAATTGGAAAATTATTTGCTGATAACATGTATGTTGATGTGCTTGATTGAGCCAATACACAGTGTAATTTGGATGGAAAATTCATCTGTATGCTGTAATGATATATACTGAATTAATGAAAAAATAAATAAATTTAAAGAGAAAAAAATAAAATAAAAAAATAAAAATAAAAATAATCCAGGGTCAGCTAGTTGTACTGTGGTTAAGGTTTTTAGGTCTGACATAACTGACTGAATGGTTCATTACTCAGACTTGATAATGTAAAAATCACTTTGGATGTGTGTGTGTGGTGTGTGCATTCCCACAATTCCAGCAGGCATGATCAATGGAGAAGGGGTTGCAACATGACCCTGTCCCATGGTGGGTAATTTCTTGTTCCCTGTCTTTTTTACTGTGTCTTTCCCTGGTGAGTATACAGAGCTTGGGTCAAAACTTTAAAAAATAATAGAAGAATAAAAATAGATTCAAACTGTTCCATAACTAGGATGTCAGCTCCTGCCACCACATTTCAGCTGGAATACCATCAAGCTTGGTGTTCATCAACATTAACAACACTGACTCCATTGAAAGTGATGGCAGAAAAGGGTGATGGCCTGAAAAGTTCTATTTGCTGTTAATCTCAAAGGACTTTCTACATGGTTTTGATTCAAAAGATTCTCAACGTTATGACTTTATTTCTATATATTATGTGTAAAATAAAAATTCTCTAGAAAGCAGGGACAAAAACACTGCACAGGGATGTTGATGTATTTGTTTCTGGCCACTAAGGCAATCCTTTAGCCAATACTTTCTTAACTGGCTCTCAGGGTTTGGGTGTTTGTTGAGGTGCTGAGGACACAGAAGGGAGTAGGCACCATTTCTATCCTAAAATAGCTTACAGTTCAATGCTCACACAAAGCCAGTGAGGACATAGAAAACCCTGCCTAGGGAACCAGCAGTTAGCATAATGGCTATGTTTCTGGACTCCCACGTAGTCGACCGTGGTTTGCGTCCCGGACCTGGTGGCTTAAAACTCACGCCGAGTGCATGTGTGTGTGTGCCCAAGATCCCGAAAGGAGAATGGAGGAGAAGGGATTGCAACATGACTATCCCCCCCGGG